CAGCCTAATGCATGTAGCCCAGTGTTCTATTCTAAAAAGATCTTTCTCAAACCTGTCATCCAATGTTAGCTATCTCTTTCTAACTTTGTCACCTGAAAATTTGATAAACATGCCATCTGTTACTTTATCAGTCATTAATTAAAAAAAAAGTTAAAACAACAAAGGCAATGTCATAACCAAGGTGTGGAGAATTAAGTTTGGCCCAGGGCACCAAAATTTAGAAACACTGACATCACTAGTACTCTTTTGGCACCATGGAAACAGATGAACCTAGCACCTGGATAACAATAATAATTATTTAAAATAGGAAGTTGCCAGATGGTACAATTGCTCCCTTCAGGGCTGTAATACAGGCAAATTCCTCCCAAGCTTGGACCAATCCTGCTTCCTGAGTGACTGGAAGAATAGTGACATTCTTAGAAGCAAAAGAGAAGTTAGGAAGAGGACAGAGTTTGGAGGTAAAGGTAAGAGTTTAGTTTTGGACATACTGAGTTTAAGATATCTATAGGATGTCCAGTTTGAGATGTGCAATAGGCAGCTGGAGATGTGAGACTGGAAATAAGAAGAGAGGTTAGTGCTGGATAAGTAGATTTTTTTGAATCATCAGCCTAGAAATAATAATTGAATCCATGGGAACTGATAAAATCACAAAGTAAAATAGGAGGAAGAAGAGGGCCCAAGACAGATCCCTATGGCACATCTGTGGTTAGTGGGCATGGTCTGGATGAAGCTCCAGCAAAGAAGATGAAAAGTGGTCAGATAGGTAGGAGGAGAACCAGAAGACAGTTTCCCCCCCCAAAAAAAGAGAGAAGGTAATCACAGTGTCAAAGTTTGCATAGAGGTCAAGAAGGATGAAGACTGAGAAAAGGCCATGTTGTTTCTCTCCAACAACCTGTAAGTTCCCTGAGAAAAAGAACTCATCAAATGTAATGCTTGGCAATTTATAGGTATTTAATAAATTCTTGTTGAATGAATGAACCAAGCTGCTCCATAGCTTCGTGAAAGATTGTCCTAGCAGTACACACAGACATGGATGAAGTATGTATATTGCACAGATCATGATACTTAACTGGAGAGATAGCACATTGAATTAATCTATCTTTTTTGGTCATAGGTGGCCACTGAAGACAGATAATCACCTGAACCCAGGATTGGACAGGGAGAGGAAGAAATCAAACTGGATTCCATTTGGAAAACTGCAAAGCACTTTGATTGATGCCAAACTGTTTCCTCCCCCTTTGTAATTCTGAAACATGGTCCCTTCAGAAAAGTCAAGAACAGGAATTTAAAACTGGGATAATCAGGAAACTGGGACAAGATGCTTCCTCATAAGAAGCTTTTTCTTTATAAAGTAGTGGTTCTTACTTTTGGTGTGTGTCATAGACTTGTTTGGCAATCTAGTCAAGCCTATGGACCCCTTCTCAGAATAATGTTTTTAAATGCATAAAATACATAGGATTACACATAAAACCAGTTATTTTGAAATACAATTTTTGAAATAGTAAAAACAGACAAAAATTTCAGACTCCAGCTTAAGAATGCTTACTTTAGAGAAATCTTTTTTTCTCATTATTCCCAATTTATAATCAATCAATCAATAAACATTTACTAAGCACCTACAAAATGCCAGGCACTGTGGTAAGCAGTGGGGATACAAGAAGGTTTGCCCTCAAAAAGCTTATAATCTAATGAGGGAGACAACATGTAAACAAATATATACAAACAAGCTATATACAGGACAAATAGGAAATAATTATCAGAAGGAAGGTACTAGAATTGAGAGGTTGGGAAAAGCTCCTTGTAAAGGTAGAATTTTAGGTGGGACCAAAAGGAAGCCAGAGAAGTCAACAGGTGGAGCTGAGGAGGGATAGCATTCCAAGAATGGGAGACAGCCAGAGAAAATGCCTGAAATTTACCAATGGTTTTAGAAATCACAACAATGAGTAATAATAACGATTTAATAAAGTGCTGCTTCCTACCCTCTGTTCCTTTAAGAAGTACAGTTTCTCTCTCCCTCAACCTCATTTGGCTTCCATTCTACCTACTCTTATGACTGATGATACCTCCCTTATAGAGAGAGGATAGGTGGTCAAGCTGAATTCAAACTATTATTGCTAGAAGAGACCTTAGAAAGCTCATAGAATCATCTGGTTCTATTGTTTCATTTTACAAAGATGGAATCTGAGGCCCAGAGATGTTAAGTGATTGCCCATGGCCATACAAGTAGTAAATACAGCTGCAGTTTGAATCCACATATTGTCTTCAAATCAAGTGGTCATTCTACAATATTAGACCAGATAATTAATCACTACCACTAGCTCTTGGGGCAAGCAGAGTTGGAGTTGGGCTACCTCCATATGATAATAGGAGCCTAGGTAAATTCTACCTGGTGGCCTTAGAGAAATGATAGTGGAGACCTCCCATACTGCCAGTGTAACTTCCTGTAGGTTTGTAAAGATAAGTAGCTCTTTGGCTAATTTAAGACGCTTGAGTACATAATCCCCAGTTTCAGGTACATACCATTTGTGCCTCAACTCCAGCAGACAGTGATAAGATAAGTCATATCTCACTGGTCACAATCCCAAATTTCATCCTTACCTTCCCCAAGGTACTTTGCACAAGACTGACCCCAGGAGAGAAGACAAAAAGGCACTGCCATTATTTTTCCTTGCATGCCTCCTTGGGAATATTAAAATCTCTTCTTTGAAAAGGGCTTTAGATTGCATATTAATTGTGTGACTTTGAGCAAGTCATTTAACCTTGTTTACCTCAGTTCCCTCATCTGTGAAATGAGCTGAAGAAGGACATGGCAAACTACTCCAGTATCTTTGCCAAAAAAAATCCCAAAAGTGGTCATGAAGAGTTGGACACAACTGAAAAACGATAACAAAAAACAAAACAAAACAAACTGTCCTTGGAGTGCTGGAAGATGGGACTTTGGACTAGCATGCGGAATGAGACTGCTATTTTCGCGCTATTGAGAACGGATTCCAGAGATGCTGAATCCCTCCAGATTATGTCTGTGTATTTTTTGATAAGCATATCTGTGCGTCTAAGTCTCTCCCAACATCTTGGAATTCAAATCTAAGCTCTGACTCGTGGGCTGGGTCAAGCTAACACACTTCTCTTTTCTTTGGAGACTACATTGAACCCCACTTTGCAGATGAGAACCTAGGGCTCAAAGAGATTAAAAGACACGCTCGTGATCACACAACCAGTATCGGCGGTAGGACTCAAACTCAGTTCTCTCCTATTTGCAACTCCAGATCCCTGGTGATGAAGGGGGGGCCTTAAGGGAGGAGTAGCGCTCAGTTCTTCATTTTACAAACAGGATGCAGGCGCCCCGCCGGCCCAAGGCGGTCAGAGCCTCAGCACCATGCTCAGGGCGGGAATTCATCCCCGGAGAGAGAACTGGCACCTGGCTCTGCGCCTTGCCCTTAATAAGTGATCTGAGTGGAACTGCCGTTATGAGAGGGAGCGCGCTTGGATGCCCTTCAGTTTAGGCTCGCCCACACGGACGCGGGGGCTCCACAAAGACTCGATGTCCTCAAAGGTAGGGCACCACAAACACCTCCTCCGACTTGCCG